ATTAGTTTTGATACTAGTTTTAATATCAGATTTGAAAAAATATTTCTGACAACCATAATGTCTATTTTGAAACAGGCACATTTTTGCATTGTCCGGTGCAGTGAAATAATCCGTTTTGATTCTGTTTTGGGAGATTTGAGCCTCTCACCGTCCGGAGTCACGTGACTGAAGCTGTTAGTGCACGCAGCTTCCTGATCTCCATTATTTAAAACAGACCTGGATTATACAATGTACTTAAAGGGGCCCAAATCCTCCTTAATATGAGGCTTTGTCATAAATGTCAACACAACAAAACTACTGTGCAACTGAAATACATGGAGATCTTTTGTTTCCAACAATGTGCAGGCCATAGATTCATGATTTAAATCCTGAAATGAGCCATGGCCAAGACCACACGCAGAATCCCCAAACATTCCTTTTGTCTTCTTTTGTACATTAACTTCTTGGGTTCTTTTTGAAGACAATTCCTTACGAAACACAACACTCGCTCACCAAAGAGAAGAGAATATATTATGCAGGACTAATGGATCTGGTATATGATCATCAACATCAGAAGAGAAAATCGAGCAAGTTCATGGAAAACTCTTGCAAAGCCCCAAGAAGTCCACAAGGAGAACAAGTTTGGAAACCCAGATTCCTCGAAGGACAGTTTGCAGCACCAGATCCTTTAGTCCTGCATAAGACCCTTCCTCTTTAGGTTTTTGGTCCCACGTCCAAATTTGTTCCCAGTTGTTGAAGTTTTTCCAAATGTTGTATTGAAGCTGTACAGTCTCAGGTGAGTGTGTGCAGAAGATTCCAAAACACAAAATGACTTCTGTTTGGGAGTGAACAACTCAACCTGAAAACACAACAAAAAGAAAACATTCAGTATAAAATCTTGATCTGTTTCTGTACATTCTTTGAAAATTTGAGCTTATTTCAACAAGAATTTCCAAAATTATTGGACTGCGAAATGATGTCAAATTTATATTATAATTTACTATACTTAACTAATATTAATATTCAATATTCAAGAGATTAAAGTTTTCCATATTTGAGACATGAGATAATAGCTGTGATTGGACCATTAAAAATAAGGATAATTGTTTGTTGTTCTATTAACTCTAGTGTCAGCACAAAGAGAAAGCTCCTCCTGAACATGTGGAGATCTGGGACAGTCTGCACTGAGCCACTCACCTGACGCAAAGAATCAAAACAATACAGCTTACACATCTGTAGCTGTCATGAAATACTCTTATCATGATTAAAGTCTTTATTATGCTCTTTTCTGATCTGCTCTAATGTCGTTTCCTCATCACAAACAGACATGGACTTGCGTTTTGTTTCATTCACATGTTTAACACACAAACCTGCACATTTAGACTGAGCTCTTCAAACTTAAAACACTCTGTTTCACCTTGTGATGTCATGTGGTGATACAGGAAGTGCTCCTCTGTGTTTTTAAACTCCATAGAATCCATAGAATCATTAGAATCATTTGGATCATTTCAGATCTTGAATTGCCAATCTCTACTGAACTAAAGGTAAAAGGAGCTGTTCACTTGAAAAGTAACACTATATGACATCACAAGGTGGAACAGAGCATTTCAGGCTTTGGAAATGTAGTCAGACTAATAATAAACAGTCACTCAAACAAAACACAACAAAACTCAGCTCCATCTGTTTGTTAATACTTCTTACATAAATAAAACTTACTTAAATACAAAGTGTGTTTTTGTCTTGTTTGTTTCTCTCTTCAGTTCTTTCCTTACGGCGATGCATCCAAGTTCGCGCAGCACGCCTTCAGGACCTTCGATAAGAACGGAGACGGGACGATCGACTTCCGAGAGTTCATCTGCGCTCTGTCCATCACCTCCAGGGGGAGCTTTGAGCAGAAACTCAACTGGGCGTTCAACATGTACGACCTGGACGGAGACGGCAAGATCACACGGGTCGAGATGCTGGAGATCATCGAGGTGAGAGGGGAAAGGACAGTCAGAGTATATAAGGGTTCAAAGACAAGTTCACAATAGTGTATTCTGAATGTTCTTCCCGACACTGCTTCGTTATGGCACATTAGGTTATTATATCATGGTATTTTCATTCACAGAATCCTAAATATTCTAAAGAGTGACAAAAATAGGCATTAAACCCCAATAACCATCACATGACATAATGTGCAGTGTGATAGAGAGATGGAGAGATGGAGAGATGGAGAGATGGAGAGATGGAGAGATGGTGAGATGGAGAGATGGAGAGATGGAGAGATGAGATGGAGAGATGGAGAGATGGAGAGATGGAGAGATGGAGAGATGGAGAGAGGGCTCTTGATAGAGAGTTTGATGTGGAGTTGTAGGAGAGGAGGGCGTGCTATAAAAATACGCTGCAGTTGTATCACATTACATGAGTCTATTTGTAGCAGAACAATGGGCGTAGTAGAGTGAGACTGATACTGGAGCATTTTGACATTTGTCGTATCGATAAAGTCAGAGCAGAGTCACCGCTGCTGCAGAGGACCCAGAGAGAGGACTCAGGGAGGAGGACCCAGAGACACGACTCAGGGAGGAGGACCCAGAGACACGACTCAAGGAGGAGGACCCAGAGACACGACTCAGGAGGAGGACCCAGAGACACGACTCAGGGAGGAGGACCCAGAGACACGACTCAGGGAGGAGGACCCAGAGACACGACTCAGGGAGGAGGACTCAGGGAGGAGGACTCAGGGAGGAGGACTCAGGGAGAATGGGCCCTTTAAAGTTGGACTATGTAACCTTTGTGGTGGGGTGTCTCTCACCTGTCGTCTCCATGACGAAGTTATTGCTTTGCCTGGTATGTTGTACAGCAGTGGTCTCCAACCTCTTTCCTCCTGTGAGTGACTTTTACAAAACCAAAATCCCAGAGAGCTACTAGTTTTAGCAGTCACAAGGAATTGAGTATATGAGAGTCAAGGCGAGGTTTAGATGGGGTACAGTTAGATGTCTTTAAAACATAAATCATTATCTATTTATTAGTTTACAAAGTTAGGTATTAAATGAAGCATTTAATCAATCAAATCTAACTTATTCAGCACAATACGTTTCTTTCAGAAGGAGGTGGAGAACTACATGTTGGAGACCCCTGTCCTACAGTGTGGCATTAAACTTATCTTTCCTGCAATTATCTATTACTGTTGGGGCTTTTGTCAAAAGTATCTTAAAAAACATGCATGTTTACTGAGAGCGGGCTCATCAGTTCACAAACTGACACCTGGTACTTGTTCCAAACTTGTATAAATTCTTTGGTTATTTCAACTGTTCATATGCATGACTCCTTCAGGCCTGTGAAGAGAATAAGAAAAACTTTTCCAGACAGAAAATAAGGATTTACCACACAACCACAGTCAATCCATTCTTTCTTCCATAATTGATAGGTTTTACAGTAGCTGCAGAGAGCTGCAGTGGTCTGACCGTCACAAAGTGCTTCTTTTACACAAAAATGTATGGGTGAAAAGCAAACTAAATTTACTAATTTAAACTAAAAGTTGGGTACTGCAGTTTTAACCTTTTAAAAATGATGAGTCACGTTCCTCTTCCCACATTAAGCTCCTATATCCACTCTGAGCTCTTTGACAAACCTGTGTAGGCTTCTGTCCATTATATAACCACCATCAACAACAGCTCCTGCCAGTCCCTCATCTCAAACACAAACCTGAAATAGTGTCCTATAGGTAATGCTCCAACTCTCTGGAGGATTTTCACCACATACATCTCACACTATCATATTTATTGCAACATTTTGTGGATGCTAACAAAATGGTGAATATGCTACTTTTTCCTTTAAAATGCCTTGACAAGACTTTGTTTCTGTCATAAGACTAGTAAGAATTAAAATTTAAAGGTGTTTCATAACAGATATTTCTTCATATAGTCTGCACTGAAACAGTTCGCTCTGTTTTTTAAGTATTGCTGATAGACTGTATATTCCAAACAGGAAGTGAACATGGGCCTGAGTCCAACTTTATCGACTCTGGCTCCAATGCACTTTGCATTGAAAAATTGGCACCCGTCTCTCTGTAACTGCTCCTGTGAGCCTCGTTATTTTGGTCTTAAAATGTTGGTATTAACCCCCTCTACATGATCCTGGTGTTTTTATTTTGCATTTTGTCTGCAAATAAATTCCTAATATGGAACTGTAGGCTTCAGATTTGCCCCTATAGCTGCAGCCTCGATGAGCTTCATTTGACTGATGCAGTGGGTGGCGTCACACTCCTGTTCACTCCTTTATACAGTTTCTATTGCTAAGTGGAAAAGTCACCACTAGAGAGCGCTATGTAGGTGCACTTAGAGACAAAAGTGGGCGGGGCTGAATAATTAACCAATTAATAAATCTTTGCATTTATGTATTTCAAGACACACAAAGCACTTTACACTTCATTATTCATTCACTCCACACTCAGTGGTGGAAACTACTACTGTAGCCACAGCTGCCCTGGGACAGACTGAGAAATAAGGTGAATATTGAACGATAAATCGATATAGTAATTATCATGACAGTCCTGTTGTAGAGCGCAATATCCAATGGTCACTCACAGTCACCTTTTTATATACAACTTCTCCACCTTCAAGGTTCAAAGCTCTTTACAAGAAGGAACCACACACATTCACAGACACATTCACACACCTATTCAGACACACATTCACACACACATTCATACACCAGTGTACACAGACTCTGGGGGTGAGGTGGGTTTAGTGTCTTGCCCGAGGACACAGTGACAGCTGTGGGAGCTCAGTCCATGATGTTTGCTCCACAGCTTTATTTTGATATTACTGTTTTATTTTTAGGCAATCTACAAAATGGTGGGCACCGTGATCATGATGAAGATGAACGAGGACGGCCTGACACCGGAGCAGAGGGTGGACAAGATCTTCAGCAAGATGGATAAAAACAACGACGACCAAATCTCACTGGAGGAGTTTAAAGAGGCGGCCAAGAGTGACCCGTCCATCGTGCTCCTGCTTCAATGCGACATGCAGAAGTGAGGCGGCCATCTTGCTGCTACCACTGTAAATCCACACCACAACCTACGGACAGCAGCAGCGCACTCTACCGTTTTAAATGTCTCATTATACTATGATATATGATATAGGTTCTCTGCCATTTCCACGGGAGAAAAAATAACAAATAACGTTAACAAAATGCTTGGACTATTTTTCAATGGACTCGCTTCTTGTGGTCGTATGCATGAGAATGTCAAAGCTGAAAATAATTTTGAATATAGCTAAACTGTACATAGCCCCGTTAAGTGTTGGTAAGTGAAACTGTGTGCGCAGATTGGTAAAAAAAAAAAAAGGTTGATGGTTGTTTTTGAAAGGACGAGTTAGCGTTAGCTTCCAAATGTTTGACTTATCTACTATCAAATCCATGTATTAATGAAAGAGTAAACAACAATTAGCATTAGCAACCAAAAAGAGCATTAAAAAGTGTTAAAAATTGCTGCGATCCAACAGGCAGTAAGAAAGATTTAGAGCAGTTATGAAGCTTCGTAAACAAAGAGACCATTTGATTATCCACTTAGAACTGCTATATTTTGCAGCCTAATGTGGACACCTGGGTAGAAAGACGACTAAGTGGTTTCACATCGGAAGGTAAGGGAGCTTTATTGCTACAGTTTGCTCATTTTTTAATAATGTATGAAGGCAATACACTTTGAATCAGCAAAAAGTTAGCATCAGTTGCTTAAAATGGGAATATGCTATTGGAATGAAAGGATAGTTGAACCCGATCCGTTTGTTAGCGTTTATTTACTTCCTGTTATGATTTCAATGCTTCCTCGTCAAATTGCGAACGAAAGATGGATGCTTTTTTTTTCTGAAATGCGCACACTGTTTTCTTCGTTACTGCACTCTTGGGTCTATTATATCATCCATTTCTATCTGAAACATGCCAGTGTGAATCGTGCACAGTTCCCCTCTCCTTCTAGACACTTAACTGTTCCCTTGCTTGTACAAATCGGTGGAGCACTGCGTTTAAACTATAGGACTCCCTCTTTCCAAGTGTCACTGCTGCAAAACTGTACTACTTACTGCTTTACATTTTAGACAATAATTCCTATAATAATTGTAACAGATGTCTCGACTGTCCATGCGAAGATACATTGCGTAAAAAAAAGAAAAATCCACATGAGTTTTTTTTTTTTTTAACACTTGAATTCTGAATGCTTTTTATGTATTTATTTGTATTTATTTATGTATTTATTTTACAAAACATATATAAATATTAGAATAGTTCATACAATTCTATGGAAGTCTCCCTAGATATGTTATAAAAGGGGCCCCAGATATATACAAAGTAAAATATTTGAGTTGTGTTGACTACATTTTTTTAGTTTGTAGGTCCAGATTATTTTTGTTATGTCGAGCTAAATTGTCTATCCTGGGTGTAATTTCTTACTCCTTGGGCAAAAACACATTGTTCGAATATCTTGATCTACACACTAAATAAATCAAAAGAAATATTCAGAATTCAAGGGATTTTAGCTTATGTGGAGTTTTCATTTTTTGCAGTGTTGCGAGTTTTCACATGGTGGAACCCAGATGAAGTAGGTTCTTTGCATGCAAATACTATGTGTCAAAAAATAATATAATATTATACCTTTTTGCATCTTTAGGTGGTTATAAAAAGAAAACCCTCTTCCGAAATGAAATGGTTAATTTATTTATTGTTGCATGGGATGTACAGTGTGTTAATTCACCCGTTCACCCTTCGTAAACATTCACCTGTTTTTATGTCACGCTCAATGCTAATTATTTGGGAGGAAAAAGCTCAACACGTATTTGCCCATTATGGCTATAGTAAAGTTAGCCTAGAAGTGTGCTCAGATAATATGCAAAAATGCTCAAACACACAGCAAAAAAGTGAAATTGACTTGAGAATTTTAATCAGAATTGTCAAAAGTTCTGTTTTAATGTATTTCTGACTGGTTTCTATACCTTTATTTCTTGTTTCATGCAAAATAATCTGTCTGGGGAGTAAGATTTACTTAAATGCAATTTCTCAATCTCCACAATCAGAGAAATAATCCCAGAATTAAACCAAAATGTATTTTGAAAGCAGAACTATCTCAAAACATGTCCAAAAATATAGACCAACTAATTAAATCTATTGTGTCTGTTACTTCAATAATAGTATGTGATATTTTGCAGTGAGGCCCAAAAATAACTACTGCCAACTTTTTATTTCATTTTGTTGCCAATAAACTCCAGATGAACAATACAAATGTCTTAGCTGTAGCTGGCTAATGCAAGCAGAGTTATGCAATTAATATGAATAATATAACAATATAAGACCCCAATTAAGATCCAATTACTGCCAAAACTTTACATTCCTCCTTAGTTCTCGGTGCCATTGACAACATGCAGTTAAATACCATGTTTGAAATGACAGGATTTAAGCACTGACAAAAGATCAGACAGTTATAAACTTCTATTGCAGTGTAAAAAATATATAAACAACAACAACAAAAACATTACAGATTCATCTTGAAAGTACAAAGACTAAATTGAATATCTATACTGCCAGCCTCCCCAGCTATTTCTTTAAATTATAAAGCAAAACAACAATCATGCATGACATTTAAAAGGCATTTGAAGTGGGGTAATTTAGACCAATTACTGTAAGCAAAGTGGTTAAGGCGAGGAGGATTATGCAAATTAAACATATAGCTACTGCCAAGTTCTATTTCTTTTCTCATTAAATGATACAGTACAATATAAAATATAGTGATTAGGCCCCTAATAGAAAGTAGGCCAGTATCGTCACAAAAACAATTTTAACTTCATTGTAATTACTGCCGACGCCCATCTCTGCTCTTCATTTGGACACAGTTTAGCATTTATGTCCATTTTTACAAATACAAAATGTAAAGTTGACTTTAAGTCAATGCATTATGTCTTACTTTTTGTCTAAATATGTTATGTTAGTTGAAAGAACAAATGTTATGTAACAAAGCAAGTAACTTGCTTTAAATCAACACAAAAGAAACAAATGTTAAAAATATGACATAAAAATTCATTTTTTAATTTTTTTTTAATGTAGTTTCAATTATCCGTGTGTGTTGCCATCCAATTTGAGACACTTTATGACCAACCGAACTGACTGTAATACAAAGTTATGTTATGTAAAGGCAATATATTGATCTGGCTTGTGGTGGAAAGCTACAGTTGATAATTATTAAGATAATGTACGACTTTCACTTTGGGTCTTTTGGGACGAGGATAAGTTTATATTTATTAGCTTTCCCTGTAGGATTCCATCGTACTGACATAAAGCGATTCTAAATGCCAAAACGACTGCAATTGGCACGGTAGGTTTTGCATTTAACCTGATTAAACGGTGAAGGTCGGCTGCATATCGATGTTTACAGAAATGAAAAGCACTACTGAATAATAATTTGTCTTTTTTCGACCTTAAAAATGCTGTGTTTTCAGATCTACTTCCATAACAGCATTCAAAATAAGGAAGAAAAGTCTATCGTGTATGTTTACTGACACATTGCATTCCTGTTTTGTCTTTACGTTTTTGTAAGTAAAGTTTTCTTGAATGTGACGTAATCTTGGAGGCCATCTTAGAAATGTGAAGAGTGTTTTAAAGACGATGGCTCCGTCTTTTGGAGAATATATTTTGTTTGTCTGTTCGTGATAAAAGGCAAATCAATTCAAGTGGAGGTTTTCATAAACTTGTTAAAGCTTCACCAAACCCAGTATTATTATTTATTTGGAATGATTTTGTATTACTTTCTGAATCTTCTTCTGATTTGTTCCGGCGCCCGCTCCTCTGCCAGCCCACTCGCGTCTCGTAAATGTTTTCACTATAAACACCATGCACCAGTGGCTGTATTCTTTTTTACATGTGGCATGTGTTGCACCCAAATGAATTCTGTCGTGACAAAAATGAATAAACCATCAACAGGCTTTTTCAAAAGAACCACTGTGTCTGCTTCTGACTTACTTCAGTGTGATCTACACACTCAGTACTACTACTACTACTACTACGACTACTGTGTTACACTACATGGACTACTACTGCTACTGCTTACTCTATAAGCAGTACCACTACTACTACTTCTACTGTTTCTACCAATACAACTGTTACTACTGCTACTATAACTGCCAAAACCAATACTACTACTGCTACTGCTACCACTACTGCTACTAATACTACTACTACTACTACTGCTACTACTACTACTACTACTACTACTACTACTGCTACTGCTACCACTACTGCTACTACTACTACTACTACTACTGCTACTACTACTACTACTACTACTACTACTACTACTGCTACTGCTACCACTACTGCTACTACTACTACTACTACTACTACTACTACTACTACTACTACTACTACTACTACTACTACTACTACTACTGCTACTGCTACTACTACTACTACTACTACTACTACTACTACTACTACTACTACTACTACTACTACTACTACTACTACTACTACTACTACTACTACTACTACTACTACTACTACTACTACTACTACTACTACTACTACTACTACTACTACTACTGCTACTACTACTAAAACTACTGCTACTACTACTACTACTACTACTACTACTACTACTACTACTACTACACTACTACTGCTACTACTACTACTACTACTACTACTACTACTACTACTACTACTACTACTACTGCTACTACACTACTACTACTACTACTACTACTACTACTAAAACTACTGCTACTACTACTACTACTACTACTACTACTACTACTACTACTACTACTACTACTACTACTACTACTACTACTACTACTACTACTACTACTACTACTACTACTACTACTGCTACTACTACTACTACTACTACTACTACTACTACTGCTACTACTACTACTACTACTACTACTACTGCTACTACTACTACTGCTACTACTACTACTACTACTACTACTACTACTACTACTACTACTACTACTACTGCTACTACTACTAAAACTACTGCTACTACTAC